TGCTTGACCCTTTCATCAACAATTTCGGTGGGCAGTGGTCCAATAGGACCTTTACATTTCTCCATGGCTGCTTTTCTTTGTTGAATCCTATCCATAATATATCTTTGATAGCCTCCACCAGTGAAATTATAAGCTGATCCCTGGCTTCAAGAATATGAGCATTGAAAAATTCACAAATGTTATTGACCAACATATCACATTTGGTGTGAGTTGGAAAAAATGCATTGCACCAATGCCGAGGATGAGGTGTTTTTTTCACCCAGCTGTATGCTTCCTTGTCATACGTCTCCAGATTTGTCATTGCCTCATTGAAGTATTCAGGTGTAGTACAGCATGCAATATTCCAGAATCTCTCCTTCAACGCCTTTCCTAGATGTTTTTTCTTAAAATTTCTATATAAATACTGTACACAATATCGGTACTCACAGTTTGGGAGCACCTCAGCTAATGCTCTATCCAGTCCCTGTAATACAAAAAGAAAAAATAAATATTTGTCTTGATGACAAAAATCAGATTACAAAGACATCTACAATAATTATAGTGCATAACCTTTTGTTGATCACAGATAAAAGTGTAGTGGTATTGGTTTTCTATTTCCAAATCCTCACTCAACAACTTCAGAAACCATGTCCATTGTTTTGTGGCTTCTTTCTCTACAATTGTCCATGCAATTGGCCAGTAGCCATTGTTAAGGTCCACTCCAAGGGCAATAAGTAATTGTCTTGGATAAGTGCCTTTCAAATGGCAACCATCTAAGCCTATAATAGGCATACAACCATCTTTATAGTCTTGCTTAAGTGGCCCAAGGCAATAGTATAGTCGCATGAATCTTGGATTACCTATAGGCTGTTTGAATGGAGTAAACATAACCTCCATAGTACTTTCCTCATGTGTCTTCTTTATCTCATTGCAGTATTTCCAAATTTTCTTGTATTGTGCCTCTACAGACCCCTTAATGAGCTATATAGTCTTGACTCTTGTTTTTCTAGCCACTCATTTAGAAATCTCAGTCTCATAGTCCTCATGAATAGTTTGCCTAAGCTCTCGAACAGGCATCTTTATGTTAACCCTGATTTTCTCCATATACCTAATGGATAGCCACGTGGAAGTAATATTTTTATTCTTCCAAGCATGATTGCAATTCTCATGCACATCATGCATTGTCTTTACCACCAAATCTGATGTACCAAGTGCCTTCTCAATTGATGCAAAGACAAACCAAGGACACGGGTCTCTACAAATAGCACCCTTTTGGTATCATTTTTACATGTCTAGTCTGATTTACCTTTTTTGATATCATATTCAGTCACTGCTGCCTTAAATTGTTGTCTTGACTCAAATTTCATCCCCAATTCAAACCTAGAGTCTATCATGAATTTATCTCATACAAATCTCTTATATCTCCCTTCAAATTGGTTTCCATCTTTATCTGATGATCCATAATCACTGTTTAAGTGATTAGATACATAGTTTTCATCCAATGCATTTGTCTGCCCCTCATGACATGAAACTTCATCTACAGGGTTCTCTCTTCTTCTTTCACTTGTTTCTTCCTTAATTTTGGCTACTGTGGTTGCTGATTGTTGGTTTTCTATTGAATTGAGGGCTGTTATGGTTGTTAGTTGTTGTTTTCATTTTCTACTGAACATTGGTCAGCTCCTAATTGATTTTTAGACTGTTGATTCTTGTTTATAGCCTGTCGAGAGGACTCAGATGTATCATGTTGCTGCTCATCTCTTGTATTCACTTGCTGCTGATCTCCTTCTCTAATGAGGTTATAAAGAAGCTATTCATCTCCACAATAATCAACATCCCAAGGAAACCTCTCTACTTCAGCATGTGATTTAGATGAAACTTCACCATCAATATCTCCCTTTGTCTTTGCAGACCCCTCATGTGTAGTGCCATGTTCATTCCTTGCATTTTCAACTGTTACCTCATTCTCCCTTAATGGTTGTGCTAAAGTACTTGTGCCACTGTCAACAGTTTGCCAAGTTGACTGTAATGACCCTATTCCCCTACATACCACTTCAAGACGAGGTTCCGCAACCACCCTACCTTCATCATCTAGTTCTTCGATTACCACACCATATTTCCTCTGCTCTACTGAATTACCCCTACCAGACTCCATTAAAACTTGATTAATTTCTTCAATTGTTAAATGGTTGCAATAAACCTTCATCACTTTATATTCATAAGTCCAGGTACAAAATTTGTTTACATTAGCATCTGTACACAATTTCCTTAATCCACTGTTAAGATCTTTGGTTGGTTCAAGATAATAATACATTATGGTTTCCTCAATATGACCTAGCCCCTCTACCATTTCATTCAGTTCATGAATTGACATCCGTTCACAATCACATAAGTCTACATGGTTCACATTACTACCAACATAACTTATGTAAATTTCCCAACAAATCTTTCCTCATGATGCATTCTTATAGTAAACCATTCAGATCCTGTGTCTACATTAACAATTGCGAGTAATCATTAATTTGGTAACTAATTAATTAACTCATTAATCTCATATAAAAAACCTTAATCCCAAACCTAGGTCAACAAGCATAATTAAAATAAAATATACAAAACTAATCAACAATAGAAATTAAATAATTATGCTAGCTCAACAAGACAAAATAGCCATGGCCCAGTAATATTATTAATATGCTTCAGGACCACTGGTGCTTATTTATAGACAGTGAATGCTATAAAAAAAATCCATATATGGGACCACTTTCCTCTCACATTTTAGACAAAACACCCTCACATTCAACCTCACAACCAAAATAAAACTTCCTATGTCATTAGCAATCACTGTAACACACATATCCATAATTTGTTGAAATTTTTGCAAAACTTTATACGCTTTAAGTGCACATACCGTATACTAATTGAGGGTCGAAGTAGATGTCCCTTCTCCTAATTTTCCATTCATCGTTCATCTGGGCAGACTTCAAACCTGACCGATCTTTTCCCATACTGCAAATCTCGTAACTGCAAGGAGTATTTTAGGATTTTTTTAGAGGCTAGTGAAGAAGAAGTTCAAAGTGCATCCGACATTTGAAGCTTTCAAGGGGCTTTCTTGTTTTTTGTACCATACTGACGAGATTAGCCCCAATAAATGTCATATGAGTAGTCCGTGATATTTTTCTCGTCCATCTTAACAGTCACATTGGACGGATGGATTAGGAATACACAATTTTTTTTAATTGGAGGATTACATTTACACATTTATTAGTTGGAGAACTAAAAGTGTGCAAATTGAAAGTTTGAAGACCACCGTTGTTTTTTACCCAAAACTATATAGAATCCCTTTATGATTTAGATTAAAGTGTCAAAGTGACGAAAATGATCATTCATAATGGAATCTATAAAAATATTGAAATAATCCTTATTTAAAAATTAAAATGGATAAAGTGACCAAAATATATAAATATAATATACATGATGCATTAACCCCATATGATTTTATATTTTACCATATAAGCTCCTTACAATTTAATGCTTTACCATATAACTCCCTTATGATTTCAAAATATATACATAGCACTTGTGGTTAATAAATAGGGATAATTTCAGAAAGCTCCCCTGAGGTTTCTGCCAATTTCACTCACCTCCCTTTAGGTTTGAATAATTATACTAACCTCACTTTATGTAGTAAAATGACTATAATATCTTTCACTTATAAATAATTCCTACAAACAAATATATTCTACAATTATAACCGGTCTTTTATTCTAAAACAATTGCTGCCACACAAATTAAACTCGTGTTCTATTTCTCCAACTCTTTCTCTTAACTTCTTTTTCCTACATCTCTTTTTTGCAAATAGACACACACTCTCTTTTTTGTTTTCTTTGTTTTATAAGTATTATTGAATTGAAATTACAAAATGACAAGTTGTTGGATCATATTTGTTGTCAAACTAAATGAAGGTGAAAAAGATAACGATAATACAGAGTACATACAAGAAAATAAAAATGATAGCTAAAAAGAAAATGTGGATTAAAGAAGGTTACGATATTATACCAATTATGTAAAAAAATTTTTGAGATATAAAAACTATAATTAGATTTGCCTAGAGACATGGAATATGGTCTCTAATGTTGCTTTTGGTTGCTCCGTGTTGGTATTCTTGGTATGTTACATTATTTTAATAACAACAAGGTTGAATAGTGACATTGGTCAATTTAAACATTGAATTTAGGCAAAAAAAAAAAATGAGGCTAAATGTTAGGTTGAATGCAAACTTTAATCGTCACAGTTGATTTGCATGGAAAGTTTTGGGATGGCAATAGTAAGCTGTAAAAATTGTAAGAATATGGAAATTAAGGTGAAATAGTTTATTGAGTTCGTTAAGGAGGTGGTTATGTCGTTTACCATAGTTGCAATGTAAAAGAAATTTATTAGTTTGTTTTTCCCGCTTCTATGTAACAAAGGGGTATTTTAGAATTTTTTAGGAGAAAATTAGCATATTGGGTCTATATTGTTACTGAAATGCTAATCATAGGGGAGTTAGGTGCAATTTTTTAAAATGGAAGAGAGTTTCCTATAATAGTTAGAAATCTTAAAGGAGATTTCTGAAATTATTCCTAATAAATAATTTTCAATTTTACGTAGGGGTGTTTTTGATATTTTAGATGACTCCATCATGAATTGTAAATTTTGTCACTTTGACACTATAATTCAAATTATGAGTAGGTTATGTATAATTTTTGGAATTATAGGAGATTATGTACAAAAATACTAAATCACGGGTAAAATATAATTTGCCCTTGATTTTCAGGTGTTGTTGCACCTTATGCAAATTTAGATTGAAAAAACATATAATAGTTCTCTTAAGAGGTCACTTTCTGTTGAATTTTTTTTCTTGATTTTAGTTCATTGGATACTTTTCTTGGATCATGGTGGATTTTGAATTTTGAAAACCGATACTTTCCGCTATTTGAGAGGAAAGCTTATTAGTTGTTTTCTTTTGATGTTTCTTTGACAGACAATCAGTTACATGGCTGAACGAGTTGTAGGAACCGGATCATTTGGAATAGTTTTCCGCTATTCTTTTCATGTTGTCTAAAGGACCAAAATCACATCAAGGAACTAGATACTTTCAAGAACTTGGGCCATCACAGCGACGATCATCTCTACAATTGGAAAAATTTACTGTACAAGGAAAGGCAATCACACACACACACTCACAGAGAACAAAAAAAAAAAAAAAGAAAAAAAAAGAATCGTAGTGATATGGAGATGAAAAGGGTCGATAAGCAAATGGATTTTGTGCTGTTTAGGCCTACTATGCCAGGTTGAATGGTGGCTTGACTGGCTTCTGTCATGATTGTTAAGAGAAAAAGGTTGAGGTGTAAATAGACAATTAGCAAAATCAGTAAGGTCCCAAAGTAGATATAGCCCACTTTGGGATACTTGATTTACCCAAATTTTTAAAAATTTCAACCGGAAACTCGACTGGGAGAACAGAAATCGTAGAAACCCTCAGGCATCCAGGGAGAGAGATGAGAAGCTGACAGGAAAACAATGAGTACAGTTGTAGCACATGGCCCTCTAATATCTTTCGTGCCCATGAAATCTAGTAAAGGTTTGCGCCAGGAATTTTCCAATTCGAAGTTTTCCTTGAGCAAAAGCAACCCTTTAATTTTCAGGTGCTGCTCCAACAAAGATGAGAAATCCCAGGAATCTCAGATGGTATTTTCACTGTTATGTGCTTTAAAATTATGAAATTGAAAAGGGTTATCAAATTTGCATGTCAAATAATTGTAAAATATAACAGTAATGATTTGCCGTTTCTGGTTCTGTTTTATTTCTTGTTCTTGTCCATGCTTTACTTGAATGAAATAAAATTAGCATTTTGGAGAAGAAAGTTGGGATTTTGGATTACATCACTTGCATATAATATGCTTCTTGTAGTCCTGTTTGTTGTGGAAGAAAGGGTAGATTAGTAATGGATTTTGTGTCCTTTATGGAAAAGAAGAGGAATACTTGCATTTTCCGAGAAAATATTCATTTTGGCAAATAGCTAGTTCAGAACTCTTTCCATCAGTTGTACATCAATTTCGCAGGCTCATTCAAATGATGTGTCTGTTGAATATCTTTTCTGAGAAGTACTGAAACATGAAATTTGTCAAGAAAAATTATGTTGGACTAGAAAAAGTTCTTGCATTTCAGCTTTCTGCTTATGAAATTTGCTGGCTTTACTTGCATTTGGAACATAGTTGTTGAATATCTTTTCTGAGAAGTACTGAAACATGAAATTTGTCAAGAAAAATTATGTTGGACTAGAAAAAGTTCTTGCATTTCAGCTTTCTGTTTATGAAATTTGCTGGCTTTACTTGCATTTGGAACATAGTTGTTGATAAATCTGTACGGCCCTCTTGTGAAAATTTGTAGCAGTGATATTTTCCGTAACAATTAAGAGAATAGGGCAGAACATGTACTACATGTTTCTTGATTTAATTTCTGTGAACTATGTGGAAAATGCAGGATTTCTTGACCTTGTGATTCATTAGGTCCCTGGAGTCATATTTTTTCATCTTTTAAATAGACATATCATTAAATTTGTTGAAAGATTGAATCACTTAAATGCATATCTGCAGAATCCTTAAAGATGACTTACTTGGAATTATTCTTTTATGCTGCTTCCCGTCGAATTGATAAAATGTCAACCTTGTGAGTTGTACAAGACCCAAAAGCACTTATCTCATGCAATAAAACAAACATGCTCCAGAGTGTCAAAGGCAAGAGGTCCTGCACATGACTATATACTAGTCTAATTTATTGATTCTCCAAAATGGTGATAGTTCTTAAAGCATGGTTTGTTTCTGCAATGGAATCAAGTGTACATGTAGCTGTATCATCAAGATTCTGTGATGGTTTTGCTTTGATGCCTTATGCTTACTTGGAGGCTTTCAACTTATTCTCCTTCAAGGATGAATAAATTTAGCACATGACGTTTAAAAGAAAAAGGTAAGTGTGCAAAGTGGAGCATATGTCTATGACAATTGCCAGAAAGAATCCATAGAAAGAATGATAGAATGATGAATATGGTGGTAAGGGACTGGATAATTCAAAAGGGAATGCTAAGGGTGTGTTTGATAAATTTGAAATCTGAAATCTAAAATCTGAATCCATTAAGTTATTAAATTGTTAAGTATTAAATCTAATACATTTGAGTGTATATCATATTCAGTGATAAGTGAATAGCTTATCACTGACTTGTGAGAGCAAGTTTTGCCTAGGAAATTCAGTGCCCTTTAATTAATTCAAATGTTTAAATTTTCGTTATCAAACGCATCTGAACATGTTAAGATCTGAATCCATTAAGTTTAAGTGCTGAATTGGATATCAAACAAGGCCTAAGTCTGGAGATTATTGCTGTGATTGCACGTATTTACAAGTTTAAGTTATCCATATGTAAATTTTAAAGTACCGTGATGACTTCATGTTCTCGTGGCATGTAGTATACTTTATTGTAGCTTTCTTTTTCAATACGAGCATGATGATAGAACTATGGATATGTTTTATACTTTTTCCTCATAGTGCAATATAACAGTTGCGGTTAGGCTGATGGGAAATTCTTGTAACAATAGCAAAAGCACAAGTGGTATGTCTTACATTATTAATTATGGATTAGCTTAATCAAAAAGGAAATAGAAAATCTAGATTTAATTTATACCATCTGAAGATGTTTGTGTTGACTGTTATCTTTTTGTCATGACTTAGCCTTTTGAAGGAACCATGTGAGGAATGGATGTCGTTGTAAAGTGAATAAGGCAGTTCTTAATTAAATGAGTTCTCTAGTACAACAAACTAATGGAGATTCTTCCTTACTACAGAATGTTAAGAAGTAATAGGAAAAAAATGAAAGGACAAAATGATTGAGAATTATATTAGTATCATAGATTAAAGAGATTGATCCTTGGATCTAATTAGCTTCGAGTTGATTATTGGATTGCATGTATCTATATCCAAGATGAATGTATAGAAAAGTAGGGACTGAGATAAGAATCATGAGTTTGTTGCCAAGCATGGATGAAAGATGTTGTTAAATTTTCCTTTTGAACTATGAAGTGGTCTCTTCACATTGATCTAAGATTTCTGGTGTAGGGTTTCTCGGTGCTTAAGAAAGACGTTGAATGTGATAGAGGGATAATATATAGCACTATGGCATTCTATGTCTTCAGTTTGCACATTCCATTAAGTTTTGGCGGGCTGGCTATAGGTGCCACCATATTGCATCAACAAGTTATTGAGCCACAGACTGAGGTATGTAATGGTCTACACTTCTCAATCAATGACTGCTGAAATTGGTGATGACAGGAATTATGTTGCATATTCCTAAATGGCATACTACAGTGGCACCAAAATTTTTATCTTTTGGCAGGGAGAGCCGGAGAGGGTTATGGGGAGAAATATCTTTTTCATTTGTCATCTAAATTTCTTCCAAGTGTTCTCAGCACAAAAAATGGCATGGAACAGTAAAAAGAATAAAAATAGAAGTACAATTATTCACCTTAAATTTTATTTCTTGTTACCCTTCATCCCAAATTGATTGACATTGAAAACTCAAGTAGTTTCCAGTGATAATCTTTGCTTGTTGTTCTTTCTTTGTGATTTTTTATTTTATTTTATTTTTACTTCTTATCTATTCCTTTTGTTGTGAAGACTATGTCTGTAGTTCTTCTGTCATACCTGACAGCATTACAGTATCCTGTCTTATCCACGACCTCTCTTGATGGCAATTGGGCCATGGTTTATTTCTCCCGCAAAACATTAATATTCTGTTAAACCTGGAACCCTGGGTCTTGCCACTTAAAAGGAATTATGCATCCTACATGATCCTGCATGTTGTGCACCGTAGTTCAATTTCTCTATGAATTACATGTTTTGATAAATGACATTGCATTTTATATGAATATTTTTTTTTTAATCTAGGACCTTAAATACAGGTCCATCACATTACACTGGTCACTAGCGTAATGTTATAAGAATCATGTATCCTTCAAAAGGTTTTGGTACTTGTTTTCTGTCCAAGTGCCACATTGGTTACAACTGATTTCTGTACTGTTATTGTGGAGTTAAAACTCTTTGGTCATTCCTTTCTATAAATGAACTGCCTAAGGACAAACATTTGGTTCCTTCTCCATTCAAGCATTGAATGGGCTTTCTGTTCCTCTGGATATCATTGCTTCCAATCTGTATAGGCTTCAACTAAATGGGCAAGATAGTATCGATAGTTATTAAAAAATCTTTCAAGTTATCCTTTATGTTACGTGCCATATTTCAGTTAGTTTTTAGTCTTTGTGTTCATGTTGATTATGCTCCAGACTGCATTCTTTATCAGCATTATGGGTTACAAGAATGGCATAAAGATGTAGCCTCTAATCTTATTATGGATCACAAACTGAGAGGTATAAAAATGACTATCGAAGATCTTTCATGTTTATTGTTTTTAACAAAATACACCAAAGGTGGAGGTCATTAGCAACTGATATCTATTATTTATCTGTGAGATCTCTTAGATCATTCTTCTCAATAATTGGAGAGCTCAACCCCCATTAGATATAAGCAATGGGTACTGTTTCAGTGCATTTGGTTTATGTTTATCATTGATATTTACTGACCAGGAAAATCAATTCAGTAATCAAAATGGTTACCAACTTAATTCCCTGTTGCACCTCTTTATTCAAAGTAAAAACCACGCTGAGAAAGCAAAGGATTTCCTTAGTTACTTTATGTAGTTTGGAATGAACGTTAGGAAAGATAAAAGCGCATGCTGACTTGTGTTTATATTTCCTTTATCATCAGTACAGGCGTTGGCATTACTTGGTCTTGAAATTTTAGAGTTCATTGGTTTTGTCTTGCTGCTGAAACGTCCTGGGGAGCCCCAGTACAAGCTTCTTGACTTATTCCAAGTTGACGAGTTAGCAGGAGAAAGAAGCTGGTTGCTGGCATCGCTGATTGGTTTTTTGTTCCTTTTGTTCTTGGTGCTGGTAACATCACTTATTGCTGATCAATTTCTGGAGACTAAGGTCAGCTTTGTTGAATCTGTTATTTTTCTGCTTCCTTTTCCTTATCTTTCTATTTGTTTTGGAGGTTTTCTGTTAGAATTTCATTTCACTTGAAAATAACCATTAGCTTGTATGGCCTTCTGCTTCATAATAGGAGAGAATGAGATTAGTTTACATGACAGAAAGCTACTAGCTAGATCCTCGTACTTGCTCTCATTTGGAAAGTTTGGACTTCACATGGAATGAACTGTATTTTGCTGGGTTCTTTAGCTCTTGATGATTACACTGTCGTTATGCTCAGTTTGTTTCTGTGCACATGCCAAATTTGTTTTCTGGTTAGGATTGCAAACGTTCCATAGCTTTTCTTGACTTACATAAAGAATTTGCAAATGGTGATGAATATCTAGAATAATCAGTGACATTGAAAACACATGGTTCTTTAGGTATGAGGATATGACAAAAGAAGGCAAAAGGAGCAAGGAAGCCAATACAAAATAGCAGATGCATATTTACAGAGTAGAGGATAGGTACATCAGGTTTTGGGTTTTAAGTGCTGGAAGAAGGAAACGCATCAGGAAATTAGAGGGGCTGGTAATGTTGAAGTATTGAATTGTGATTTTCTCCTAATAAATTGAATGCTTTGCAAAAGCACATAGCTGTAATCTAAATTGTAAGCCAACTGAATGGGAGGCTTGTGCTAGGAAATAGAATACCCGTGTGCATTCAGTTACCTGTATAAAGCATAGCGACTTGCTCCCATGTAAAGATTGAAGTATCTCTCTTTTGCCAGCTCTCATGGTGCTTTATTAGGACTATAAGGGATCGCTTATTACAGATCATTATAAGAGGAGATGTTGCATTACCTGTAATTTTTTTTCCCTTTTTCTGGTTTACATTGTGCTACCTTTATGTTAAGGTGCTGCTAGTACTAATAATAACTGTTGTTTAAGCCAAGCTCAACTTCTGTTAGTTATTTCAACTATCTAGGACTGGTGGACAAGTTTAGCATTGGATTAAAAGTTATCATAGTATTTCCTCATGATGCCATGTTCGTAATGGATGATAGTTTCTCTCCATGTGCATAGGAGGTAAACAATCCAACACTGCAAGCACTCCTCTCAAGCGGCTCAATCTCTGTTACAGCTTGCATTCTTGTCTACTGCATTGTCACTCCCTTCCTGGAAGAGATTGTCTACAGAGGGTATTTGCTGACTTCTCTTTCCTGCACTATGAAGTGGCAGCAAGCCGTTCTGCTGAGTTCTTTGCTTTTCAGTGCATCTCACTTCTCTGTTGAGAATTTCCTGCAGTTATTCGTTATTGGCTGTGTCCTTGGATGCTCTTATTGTTGGTCTGGGAACCTCAGTTCATCTATCCTCATACACTCGTTGTACAATGCCTTCATCCTCTACATAACCTTTATTTCTTGAATATTGATGCTGATTCTGCGCGTTCCTTCTACTTATTTGGACAAATTATCTACCTTTATAGATTCCATTTACAATGACAACTAAGTATTGCTTGTCCTCTCAGCTTTACAGAGAAGCCTCGGGCAGCACAATAGACATCTCCTATCCACTATGGATGCTGCTGATTTTTAGTGGGAAAGACATCTCATACTCAATAGGCCCTTTTGCTGGGAAAAAAAAAAGGTTGTCTCAGGAACTCACTTTTTATGGAGCATTGCATAATCAATTAACATACAGTTCTAGGAGGGAAAAGCATATTGAGATTTAAAATATAGTATGAGAAAAGTTAGCAGCTAAGGTGCCTTGGTTAATGGCAAATCAATCGGCTTAAGATGTTTTTTTTATTCGTCCATTGAATAATCTCTAACCCTTCACGTAAAATGTTGCTACATATCATCATAATCCATTTGGAAATTAACAGTGTAATAGAGCACGAGTAAAGAAATTTCTAACTTCAGTAGTGTCTTTGATCTTCTTTTGAGTGTTTTTCAATTTATCCAGTTCTTAAGGGACTCGAACGTCAATCTGCAAAGTTTGCTTGGTAGGTCAATCCATTCATGCCAATAATTTTCAGTGGTTCTGCAATCCATGTTCACATTCTCCAGGACATGTGATACCTGAAAATTACACCTGAAGAGAAAAGGCCCACTTGAGCCAGTACAATTTTGGACCCCTTCCTTCATACAAATTAAAGTCTTTGAAAAACCCTGCAAATTGGATAAGGCAACCATGTTTAGCTGGTCAATAACATTTCAGAACCCTTTACAGCTTCTTGTACATCCCTATATTATATATTTCATCTACTGTACCCATAAATTTTCAAAAAGTGTGCAAGAACAAGAAGTTCAAAAGAAGGTGTGAATGTGATTAGGTTTGAATACTAATGATTTGATAGTGGTTTACAGCAGGTAAATGGTTGGAGGATTGCTGCTTGGCCACCTGGTATGTGCTGTTTTCCTTTTCATTTTGATAGAATCCACATGGATACTCTTGGAGTATAAACTAAGTTTATTGGCTCAAAAACACATGGAAGATGGTGCATGATCAAAGCATAAACAAGCAGGTAGTCGGCTAATTCAAATCATTCAAATGATTTCAAACTGAAAGTAACATGGTGGAGATTTCCTTTTGGTTTCTTAAGGCTATAAAGTTTTTGGCTTTTCTCTGTTTTTGAGTTTCTTTGCTTGAAGAGAGCACTAGCCATTGCTTTACCTTCTGAGTTAGAATACAAAATCTGGAAGACAATAATGGGCTTAGAGGCTTCTATTTTCAGGAGCAAGTCACATTCTTGTTGATGTGATGTGCAAGAAAAATGGAGGAATCATTCAAAACCTTTGGCTAAAAGGTGAAAGCTATATAGAGGGAAACCTACCATCTTGAGCAATGAAAGCAATTAAAGTTGCATTTGCTTGTTTGTGTTACTTCTTTTCTTGACAAATAGTTATACTACTATCAGACATGCTGGTGTTTAAAGACTTGTAGGACATTGAGAAGCTTTCAAGTCCCTAAAACTCATTTAGGAGAATGGTTAACTTAGTGTAGGCAAATCGAGTCATTTTTACTTCACTCATTCACAATTCAAGAAGGAAAATTTCCAAATAAAAGTTTCATAGTTTGAATTGGTCGATGAATTTTAGTGTTATTGTTTATCTAAACATCAAAACAGCATATACCCAATGGATGTTATAAATCCAAATGTAGAAACATAGGTTGTATAAAACAAAGACAACAAGACAAGATGGTTGGATAGAGAGAGGGATTGATTTGAATAGAGGTACCCTAAAATATCACTATTAGTCTAGCATATCACTTGTATATTCTTATCACAATGCCGCCAATCATCAAGCATTTATATGGTGGTAGTAATTTTTTTAAAAATTTTTGGGTATTTATTTCTTAGCTTTCATTCTATTTGGTAGTGTTTTGAAAAAAAAAATAGAATTTTCCATAAATTATTAGTGTCGCAAAAATCAAGTTTTACATTCCCACTGTTCATGAATTTATATTGTGCACTACATTCAAACAATGGTGATGCAAAGATGCTGAAAGATATACCAAATCACTAAATACTCGAATTGAGTTCGATTTGATAAGAAATTTGTACTTGATTCGCTAATTAGTTAAATCAAGTTTGAACAGAATTTTATGTTCGATAACTTTCAAAATCAATAAAAAAAAAAAAAAACTCATTCCAATTTGGTTCATCATATAACCAAGCCAAATTTCTTCGGAATAAAAGGGTCAAATTTGAACAAAATTTCAATTTTACCTAAAATAATCAAACAAATTTGAAAATTATAGTATCGACTTGATTAAATTCGTTTACACCCGTAAATAGAAATAGAAAGAATCAAAAATTGGGAAAAAAAATATACAACGTCTATATATTAGTATGTTACTGTTACATTGCCCTGTCGTGGTCCCAAGAAATCATCAATCTTTGTCCCACTGTCCAAACCAACGGCTACATTCTACCCAACTGGAAATTGCCAGATTTAGTTGACGTCCACAAATTGCTAGCTTGTAAAGGACCATTTGTCCCTACTTAGACACACAACCAATAAAAAATAAAATACCACCATTACACGTCTTACAAAGCCTGCCTTATCCCCGCGATCAATGGTAGCTATCAAAGGAATACAAGACCGGTGAAAGCAGAATTGTTCTTGATCAATGCCACGTCTGGTCTAATGAGTTGGATCCCACGATCCCTCCAATCCTCCTACCTTAAATAACACCTCAGATTAAACCACTCTCCAGCAGCTGTCCACATATTTTTCAGAAGCCCACCTGCTCAATCTAGAAACTCTTTTGCCTGCCTCTGTTTCTCTTCCCTGCTCTTGCTTTTCAAGAAATGGGGAGCTTTGAGCAGAAAGTGAAGGAAAGGGCCAAGGAATTGAAGATCTTTTTCAAGAAAGGGGTGAAGATTGTTGGAGATTCATGCAAGAAGGGATGGTACAAGCTCAAGCACATTAGGAAGAAATGATTTCAGGGATTTTGTTCTGTCTCAGCCAAAAAATTGTTTACGTTTCCTTTTTCTGCTTCTGACAATTTTTTGGGTTAATTTACAAGTTGAGTTTTGTTTAGTTGTGGTAGGTGGTTTTGATACATGTAAAGGGAGTTGGGGTAATTCTTGTGGTTTCTGTTCATCTTTCAATTTGTTACAACTACCCTCAATCCTTGAGCTTGAGTTGCTTTTTACTATGTTACAAGATTGATTGAGATTCATTAACTTTGTTGCTGTGCCCCTTAGGTGATGTGATGATGTATTTTGTGGTTTATCCATATTGCTAGGAAAGACATGGAACAGGAAATCTATTACAATCAAATTCATCAAAGTTGAAAAGCAGAAAGAATGGTTTTGATTTTGAATTGAGATGGCAAAGAAATTTAAATCTTTATCAACTTGGCAAAAAAAAAAAAAAATCTTAAAATTAAGTTGAATTCTTTGTAGTTAAAATATGATAAAGCCATTGGGAACTCTAAAATAGAGATAAACAACATAAGTAGCATAGCAAATTTACAATTTTCTAGTACTCTTTCTGCTTTTTATTTCTCTGTTTTGATTCATTGCATGGTCCAGACAACTAGACTCTTCTAGCTCAAGCATACCAGTTTAACAACAGAAGCTTGTACCTGGAATTTAATTTGCAGCCAAGATCAAATTTGCAGGAAACCCTGTTCAGTTAGTTCTGCTCTTAACAATTTCTTGTGTTATTCATAAACAAAAATTTCTCTCGGCGCTTGTGTGCTCGGATCCAGGCGCAGTAGAACTCTCATTTGACAGCAGTGAATACTATGTTTAAACATCCCCGGCCTGTTAAAAGTATTCTAGATTGTGAGAAATTAAGTTAAACTTTTAAGTGTGTCTAACAATTGAGCAAAATGGAGTGGTTGTTAAGCTGTTGCAGAAAATGAATTGTTTGTATCTCTGTTTTTTTCTAAGGAATGGTTTGTAACTTTACTTTGTCAGTGTAAAAAATTTCTCTTTTTTGTCATGTTAGCAAGTTTAAATTTGTTTTCTTTTTTGGTCAAGATGTTAGCAAGTGTAAATGCATAGAGTAAAAGTAGAATTTTATCATCTACTCAAGCTAATGAAAAACCCCATTGCTCTTTTTCTCCCTCTTGTTCTCCTCATTGCTTTTCAAATCCCACATTTCCTCTTCTTTGATAAGATTTTTCTTTTAAAGTACTACTATTTTCTAATTGAGATGCATGACATCTTTTGACTTAGTTAAAGCATTGTTTATTTTTTATTTTTTGGTCGGGGGTGACTCCTTATTAAACTAAAGTAAGTAATTAAAGACAAACTTGAAAAATCTCTCCTTACCTGAATTTTAGTTGTGCAGGGTGATTGGACATAATTTACCCCTTATGTACATGTTTATGTGTTTCATCAGAAAGACGAAAAAAACCAAAGAAAAAGAAATTTTTTTTGTCAGCAACGATACATTTATATAACCTACTCTATCCTAATCTAGGGGCAGGGGAGCCTAAGGAGAGACTAATGGATATACAGACCCAAGTACAACATTTCAAGACCAAGAAGTGAAGTATCTTGATTGGATTTTTCCAATTAAGATGCATTAATCAAGTCTCACTATGAGGGGATTTGTCCAAAGTTTGGGAAGTCATTATAAGGGGTTTCATCCAAATTTCGGAAGAAAAAAAAAAGAAATCAATAGGCTGGAAGATCATAGGTTTTTCTAACTTCCATGATTTGCTGCTTGAATTTGTAACAAGGCTATGGTTTATATTTGACATTACCAAACTTGCAAATATAGACATAAATTCACCAAAGTTACAAATAAAAATAATATATTTTTTGAGGAAGAATAACAAAGAACTAAAATCTTGTTTTGCAGTGCTATGTAGTTGTGATGAAGATGCATGGAATATAAATTGTAGGGAAAAATGGTGGACTGGGCAGTATAGCGTACGTAGAATACGAAGGTCAGGTATAGGAAGAAAGTAGGTAACTGGAAGAGCGTCATACATAGGATGGGTATTTGTGATTTGAATGAAGGGTGTTAACCGGTGAACTATGTTCTTTGATGAGGTGTCACAATTTTGTTAACAGTCAATGAACTAAATGTGCAAAAAACAACAGTTTGGCAAAGTGATGCTCCTTGAGTACTCCCTTAAAGGGTCTCAAGTGTTTTTTTTTTTTAAAAAAATATATAGTTCATTCGGAAAAGTATTAAAATTCATGTGTTGCAATAAATTTCAGTATATGTATTTAAATGGTAATTTAGTTATGATTTAAGTGTCTTAAAAAAGTGGGCAGCTATTAGAAAAATCCATAAAACAATCATTCTTAATATTTCTATATTATATATATATATATAATAATAAACGTTATTTATAATTATTCGTGTAGGACTTTAATCTGGCCGAGCCTAATAAAATTTATGTGTAGTTTACATTTAATTTGAGCCTTATATTTAGCCCTGCATTCTACATAGCCCAATTAAACATAGAGTGTGATTTGATTGGATAGGAGATTATTGGAGATAATTTTGTGAAAAAAATACTGTAGAACTTCTTTAATGGAGGAAACTTCTCAGACATCCTCTAAATTATCGCATTTGCACGCTTTTGACCCCTCAACTATAAATTGTCACAAATAAGCTCTAAAATTAAAAAAAAATGCTTACTTTAAGGACTTCCGACAATTTTGGTTGTTAGAAGTGACGAAATTAGGGGCAAAACAGATCAAACAAAAAAATCAACCCACAAAAACAGCCTAAAAGGCCTCATTGAATGATCATTTCATCAAATTAGGGCCGGAAAAGATGGAAGATGGAAGAAGATGAAGAAACATTAAACTCTATATTATTAGTTGGCTTAATATACCTATAGTTTTTAATCAAATCATGAGTTGATTTATCTGTTTGGTCGGTTTTGCCCCTAATTCCATTACATTTAATCCCCCAACATTGACGGATTTATAGCTGAGAAGCCAAAATCGTGCAAAATGAATGATTTAGAAACCTGTTAGAAAGTTTTCTCTTTTAAATATAAGGTACGCGAGATAAAAAATAATTAAAAAATTTATTTACGATGCAAGTAAATAAATTTGTGCATATAACATAATGATGTCCCTTTTGGTCAATTGAATCCAAACATTTTGATCAATTGAATAAGCTAAAGCAACAAATAGCAAATAAAAAAATAATCACAAATCCATGATTATATCTCATTCCCAATTCACCCCAACATTTTCACAAGCGTACGGGAATTGGAATCCTCTCAACAAAATCGGAATCTTCGGATACAGCCCTTTTAATCACCTCCACTCCACTCCACCATACTCCAACAAAACCCCCTCTATCCAACCATTAATCACATCTCACCATCCATTTTCAAAACGTCAACCTATTCTACGGCTGATCCAGAGCACAACCCAACTCCAGCCTTGACTTCGGTGTGTAGCTTATCCAACCCAGCTTAAACTTAATCCAAAAATTCAGACAAAAAAATAAATAATAATTTTTTCTATCAAAATTCTGTTAATTGTCGTTTCCAATTTCAATTGTCAGTCGCCTTTCTCCCTCCCAACTAAAACTTTCGCGCTTTCTCTCTCTAGAATTCTCCCTCTACCTATACATACAAATTATTTGTATCTCTAAAACGTAAACGGAATTCAAATTTATCCGAATTATTATCGAACTTCTGTTAGATCTTCGAGTTCACAGTAGTTTTTCCGGTTAATTGCTTCGTCTTTCTTGCTTTATCCATTTTTTTTAATCTAAATTTTTACTTCGATAAATGGAGATGATGACAATGGAAGAATCGCTTGTTCTGGAAATGGAAATTTACAGCTGTTATGGAGTTGAAGTTGCTGAGGATCGAATATGTCGAGGAATTTTTCAGATAGCTATAGGACAATCTAAGCCGCGAAGTTGTAAGTTTAGGGTTTTCTGAAGAATTTCAGTAGTAGATACTGTTAATTAGGGTTTTAGTTCATTTCGTTGCTTTTGAACTTGAATTGAAGTGAAAATTAGTTAGTTTCTGGTGCTTTGCTGATTACCGTGATCAGTTTCTGGTGCTTTGCTGATTACGGTGATCTATTTGACTGTGATTTGGATGAAATTGAAAACATTTTCGCGTTTGGAGTTTGCTGGATGTTGAATTTATGAAGACCATGGGGAGCTTGGATTTTGTTAATTCGACATTCAATTTCAAGGATTAAGCTATTATATTTGTGGTTGTAATATAGAATTCAGCCTTATTGGGCAGTAACACGGGTATATGTTGAATATTTTGCTCAGAGGATTTCGTAGGATTGGGTTAGCTTTTCTTATATCGTATTTGGACTAAATGGCCTTTTGCAGTGGTGGGGTTTTCAATTTGTATAGTGAAGGGTTTGCTTGTAGAAATTGAGAAAGTTTGGAGTTCCTTTTTTTTTTTTTGGGTGGGGAAAGGGCTGACCTTAGGCAGACTGAAGTTTGGAAAAGTGTAATGGCGGGAAGGAAAGAAGTTGGATTTCTGAATGCAAGTGGTGTTAATTTGAAAGAGCAATTGGCTAGGACAACGTTGCGTAATGCAAGACTTCAAGGTCATACATATGTTGATCTTAGGAAAGATGGTAAAAAATCAATTTTCTTCTGTACTTTATGTTTGGCGCCCTGCTATAGTGACTCGATCTTGTACAATCATTTAAAGGGTAGTCTTCATTGTGAAAGGCTTGCTGCTGCTAAGGCTACTCTGTTGAAGCCCAATCCCTGGCCATTTGATGATGGTGTATTGTTCTTTGATGATTCTTCTGAACGGGATGAGTTACCTGTATCGAAGCGTGATAATCTTCAGTTGTTAGATAATAATGATTATGATGAAAGCAGTCTTGCTATTGTTAGTTATCATGAGCACCTCGAAAATAATAGCAATGGCCATGCATCTCATGATGATATTGGGTTTGGGAAGAATCCAGATTCTGTTGGTGCTGGCACCGCTCTTTATAATAGTCCCTCTCCGACCAATCTGACTGACACTTTCTGCAGTCAATTGGTTATTCCAGGTGTCCTTTGTAAAGATGAAGTGTCTCAATTAGAAGTTTCATATCTGGGTGTTGCCCAAATTGCTGCTCGATTCTGTGAGAAGAATGGAATTATAAATGAAATCCGAAGAATATGGTGCGAGTGGCTTGGAAGAAAGGATTGTGATGGAGAGGATACCCTGATGGTTTTAGAACATGATTTTGCTATAGTTACATTTCCTTATAGCTATAATTTAGGCCGAAAGGGG